CAGTTGGTGTGAACAGAGTTGAACAGTAGCATGAGCATCGATTTACAAATTCCTTTCCCAGCTGATGTGAGCTAGGCGATGACCGGTAGGGCTGACTTCCAAGAAACACCGTTAACCTATAAGCCACACACCCTATCGGTAATCAGCCAATGAGAAGGGCTAATGAAGAAGATGGAGGGGTGACGACTCTTGGAGCTGGAGGATCTGAATGAAAAACATCGAGGAGATCACCACGGGCCACCGGAGAAAGAAGATCGGGAGTTTGGGAGTGCGTGTATCGGTGTGTGTGCTTCTGGGACAATAGACAGTATGTAGAAAGAATAAAATATCTAACTAACACTTTGTCAAACATAAAAGTCATATAATTTGTCAGTAACTAATTCTTTTATATTTTCAATTGATTTTCTTTTCTTGTAAATTTAACGTTGCAAATTAATTTATCTTATTATTGTTGTTTTTTGCTTTTTCAAAGTTTTCTTTTGCTGTTGTAACACTTTTAACTTTTGTTGTTTTCGTAATTTAAATTTTTGTTCATTACACGTTGAGTAACACCCTTAAGCAGTCTTATGTCTCATTAACCTAACACCTCTTCACTAAGCTAAGCGAGTGTAACATTTAGGAAACTTAAACTTAAAGTGAGGCATGGGACTCGCAATATATATGTATATAAAAATTGTTTTAGTGTTCTTTTGTTATTTTTTATTGTTATGCTACATTTATTTATAAAAGGTTAGTTGTGAATAAAATGTCTTACTTTTTTGTACTTTTTATACATTTAACTTTTTGGTTAATAATAATTATATGCGAAAATTATTCCCACCACATATAAAAAACTCTAAATTATAAAATGAGAGCCAAGCCATAAAATATATTAGTGTCGGGTTTATCATGAATATTCACATCTAGCGGAGGGTTTGTTAATGATACGAATTTATTTCTAGAAAATATTTTCTAAAAGGGAGCATCCAGAACGTTGGTGATAATACGGTCACTTAACCCTAATATGGTGGTAATGATGCCTTCACTACTGGTTATTTATCTTCAGAGTGCCTGTGTATTTTACATTTTACTGTAAGTGTTTCATAAATATTTTTCTGCGTTCCAGCACAATACATCTATTTAATTTATTGTGATATTATAGTTTACTCAGAACAACCAATCTTTCAATACGTCCTTAGCAGTTTTATTGGAATATAACACAAATTTATAAGTACCGTCGTTTGATTATCGTATGATGTACCTACATAATCAATCGGCTTAACTATTTAATACAACCACACCATGGAGGAAATTATAATAGCTATTTGAGTATTAAGAGCGCGAACTGTGCGAGGGGCAATGACTGTTTGTACACACAAGACTTTTCCTATCCCCATAATAAACTTATTATAAAGCACAAATTAACTTTTAAATGTATATAATATGTTATATCTAGTATATTTGGTTTTCATTGTGTGGTATTTGTTTACTGGTTGTTGGTGGTGTGAAATCAGCTGATTTAGCGAGCTGTAAATGTCATTTAGGCCTCCACTCTTGAGCGGAAACGATCTACTGAACTTACTTTTTACAGATGTGGTAGGGAAAATATCTCTTTGAATCGCTATATCAGAATATACGTCTTATATAGAGTAAATACGTTTACATTATTTTATCATCATTGCATTATTTTTTATTTAATTTATTAAACGTAATGTACTTTGGTAGTAAAATGTTGACAGAAGCTGAATGGAAAAAAATGCCTTGCAACATCATTGTGCAATAATTTATGATCATTTTTATGACACTAAAAGCTCTGGAATAAATGTAAATAACACTCTTACAGTACTATTAGGTCCAATTATCACATCTAAGAAATTATTGAAAAAGTCTCAAGAATATCCTTTAGACCTCAACAATTTGCTAGTGGTTTGTTTAAGTAGGGAATTTCTATGCGACAGCCTGTCGTATATGATTGAATATTTCCTTCAGTTGGAATTACAAATTTGCCTAAAGTAATACTTTCAGGAGAGAATGACGTTTAAACAGTGTAACTAGATAATCTGTGTTGCTATTTTGTTCAAAAGTAGTCAAAGCTTTAGTGTAGTTTTAGTATAGTGTAGCTTTAGTATAATATTTATAATATACTAAATAAATTTAAATTTTGTAAAATAAGTGCATTGCACTCCAATGGGGCAGCTTAAAAAGTATATTCTAATGTCTTTACAAACACCGTGAATTTAATTGATTTAAATGAAGGCTCAAAGTATTGTATACATTTAATCCTTAATAAATAATATTAATACAATACCTAATATATGCTATATTGTACAGTAAAAAGTATGTTCTTAATTAATTTACATGCGTTTACTAGGGATACTGTACCATAAAAACCTGTATTCTTAAGAACCATTTATAATACCAACTATCCAAATATGACTATTTTTAATACAACTGTGTGTGTATTGAAAATATTTAAATAAAAAAAAAAAACACTTTAAAACAGTTTCACACATACTTCAAACGTCTTATTTGATATTTTCCCCCAAAAAATATTCATTTAATAAACATAATTGTAATATAAGAGTGTTTCTTTAAACTAGAACAAAAAAATGGGTACATTTAACTCTGGACATTATTCTAACATTAGGCTACCATGCATATTTGACCCATGGTATAATGGTCTAAACATTCAGACCAATTAACTCATGACAAATACGGTGAAGCTCTAATCATAGAAGGCAGTTAATTTTACCCTGGTTGAAATATGAGACCCATTTTTAAATGTTTGTGTATGATTTGTGAGCTGCAGATAAGTTTGATGTGCATCCCAGCCCGCCAGCCACCTGTTTTGTTTAAACAACTTATGACCAGGCTGGATATCATAAAACATAATTCACACGCTCTTGTGTATAAAGCTGCATTTTCCTCCAATTCGTTACCAGCAGTTGTAGTATATGCATTGAATATTGTAGAATATTATCCACCATCATACGTTTTAAAAAAATAAAAAAATCGGTGGAAAAATTTTAAATATATGTTATAGGGTATTTTGTAAGAGACATTTTCTAACAGTTTTCCCATAAGATAACAATGCATATCCTTGTCTTGAAACTAACATCCCAACATTAGTTGAAAGTTTTAATTCACTTTAATGTAATTTAGTTTTGACAGCTTGGCGCTTTTGAAATAAGTCAGAAAATATGTTTCTGACTAGACTAAACTCCCTTAAATCGTCACACTCTCTGTATTTGTACCATTAAATATAACTAAAATGTAAATTGATGAAAATACTTGTATGTTTCAATTTTCGTGGCTGGTTATAAGGGAGAGTTTTTTTTTCAAAACCAAAAAAGATTTTACTGAAAAGGTTGACAGAGATCTTATGAGTTCAGCGGAATTTTGATATAGGGGCTAGCCAGAGGCTAGTTAATACTTATCATTTTAAGGCAATGGAGACAACTGAAACAAATATGATATAATATATCAAAAACTCAATTTATCGTAATAGTGAATATCGCTTGCATTAACTATATTGAAGGTGGATGTTTTCAACCTTTTCCGAAAAGTGTAGTAATGGGTGTATAATGCTTTAAGTGGGGGAGGAGGTCGAAAAATAATTACTTGTGGTTATTTGGATTGCCTTGATTTAATTTAGTCAATTGATTATCGTTGACACAAACCATATTAAAATTATTTCAACCACATAATGTATTTGGTAACATCCAGCTACTTTTCTATCTTACAATGTTTTATTAAATTTAATATAATAATGAATAAAGTGAAAGCATCTACGTCAATACTCCATTTAAATTTGTCAACTCCTAAAGAATATTATTTTCCATATTTTGTGTAATGTCTGTAATACATTATAGTGTTTTACAATTAATATACTATAGCTTCAAGGGATTATAAAATGGGAACTAAATACGAGGGGGAAATTCTTTTAAAACAAAATAAAATTATTGATAAACTCTTCAAAGCTTTACACATACAAGATCGTCGAACAGTAGCAATCTGCAAAATTTCATATACTATTATGTCATTCTAGTTAGAGTGCCTACTTTAATTCAGAAAAAGAAATATAGACTTTCAGATTGTAGAAAATATCATTGGACTTCACTAAAACATAGAGGGATCCCACAGTGCTTTTCGGGTTTAGGTTCGGTCTTATGGGACTTTCGAGTTGTAAATCGCCAAATCGGATTCCAACGGTGTATTGACGATGAATAATTAATGTGTTTTCCCTCATTCAATCTGCATCGAAACGCAACTCTATTGCTGTGGAACCTACAATAAATTATAAATTACGACTGCAGTAAATTATAATTTGGAGCACCATTTGTATGTAAGCCGGGCTGCAATTAATCAGTGAATTATTAATGATTCATTAGTGTACGATTAGTTAAGTTATGGCATCTAATACGTTTACCTAACAAATTATTATAAATTTTATTTAATTTTCCATGTTCAAACATCCTGGTACGCAACATACTGCTTTACTTCTCAATATTATTTGGCAGTAAGAGAAAACATGCAACGACTGACTTTGAATTAGTATAGTATAATACATCCGCGAATATTTTAAACTTGATTAACTTCTGTAGTTGTAATCAAATATTGTAAAAAAATATTGAGTAATTATTGAGGAAAATTAATAAAGGTGATTCAGATATCAAATCATCGTTCCGTGATCACTTACCCTAAGGAAAGATGCTTAAGACGAAAGAAACTATTTAACAACATGGCCCTAAATTATGTTTAAAATCCTGATCTAATTCGAAATAAATTTATTATGCTCTAGTTAAGAAAGATACAATTATTCTAGTAAAATGCTAAAGAAATGCTGTCCAAACACTTTTCAATTTGGTTTAGTATATTTTTTGACCCAGCCTTTCAGATCACAATATATTTAACTGTTCCATAGACAAGATTGTATTGCTATTTACGTTTAACAATGTGTTTGTTTCTGACCATATATAGTTTTAACACATAACTGATAACACACGACTTGCTTGTTCCAGGTTGCGAGTGTTTGCTGTACTCCGCTACGTACGGTAAAGAGTTCGGTACGTTCAGCAGTCCTGACTATCCCAAGAACTACCCACCTTCAATCAACTGCCTTCTCTACACGTTTGTAGCCAGCAGAGACGAGATCATTGAGATTACCTTCAAGGACTTTGACGTTCAAAAAACACATCTCGAGTAAGTATGACACACTTCCTAAAACTTTACATAATATTTATACGATATTGGTCCATTTATTACCTGAAAGTACAAAGATACGTCAAATAACACTTGTAATAAATATATTTACACCTATACTGTTTACTCACAATACGGTAAATACATGTAAATGATGATAAGTGGTGATCGATTAAGATTGGTGTGTATATTAATTTATTGCTTATTACTATATAAATAGAATTTTTTGCAATTTTATAAGCAAACGTGTAATGATTTAAACATTATTATCATTAATAATGTTAAGAAATAAAATTGGCTTTTCATAGATTGTTTACTATATGATAAAGAATTAGTGCATAGAAGAAAATCAATTATTTACTTTTCCGATAAGGAAAAAAACTAAATTTTCACTATTTTACACATCCTGACATATTTTGAAATAATCGCTTGTATAACCCTAAAATCACAAAATGTTGGTAGGAAAAATACAAAATTAAGTTTTGTAGTAACTACAAAAGAAGTTAAGAACATGATACTTTTCATCCCGTCTTATTTTCAACGTATATTTAGTTTAAATAAGCAGAATATGCATCGAAAATCACCCATATCAATGATAATTATGCTACACATATGGAAATAGCGGCAAAATAATATGGTTTCGCTAGGGATATCATTTAGACTGTACATTGCTGAGCTATGTACTAAACCTGGACATGATAACAAATGATGTGAGTTTACTAGCCGGAAGACAAATGGTAAGTTGATCTTATTTCGAACACAAAGCTTTGTTCCCTTCCGCTGTAATTGTGTTTCCTGAAAATTCCAAAAGTTATCTTACAAAACAAATCTAAAAAATAGTTAATTTAAAGTAAAAGGTTATACAAACGGATATGAATACTTAAATAAAATTACATATAACATTTATTTTTATAATAAGCTATTTTCGATGTTACCTAGTGTGTTTGCTTATCTTAGAGATCAAAAGACAATCTACTGCGTACATTTTATGTAGTACACTTATATTATTACAAAATTACGAGATGCTAGCCCGTCCTACGTACGGGAATTGAGTAGTCAGTTAAAACCTGTGTACAATTCAGAACAGCTAGTTTACACGTATAAAGACAAAATATTTTCTTGCAGTTTTAATGTGATAAAATCATCTTGTAAACAAATTTTGAGTGGCCAAATATCTTTTATTCCATCATAGGCCTATACGATACCGGTATGCATTTTAAATCCGATAACTTTACAATAAAACATCAATTGTGTATAAAAAAGTAGAAATATTAAAATCAAAAAAAGATTTTTTTATTTTTTTTTTTATTATTGTATTATTTTGTTTCGGAATACTTATTTTAGATTTACAAGCTTCATATGTGTCAAAATATACGTTAATAAAGGGTTAGGTGGATGATGCATAGCACATGATACCAAGTCCAACAAGTTGGCATTCTGATATTCAATACCATTGTTCTCGATAGTAACTGGAATGCTGTAACAAAGCCGATGAACAACAATAGTGTAGACTAGCTTGCGATTTATCATTGTATGTAATGTAATTGGTAATCCATAGTCGCAGAAGAGGCCCGAAAGTAAGCGTTAATTTAATCCAACAAAGCATCATAAAGTAAAATACCTGTCAATAAATATAACAATAATCTTGGAAGGTAAGCGAATTTCTAAACGAATAAGTGAGTTATATTTAATTAGGTTTCGAAAAATATTTGATCCGTTGAGAGTTAATACGTTATTAATCCATTTAGCTTTTTTCCAACAACAAGTAGTTTACTTATTTCACTAATGTTATTTTAATATGGTAATTTTAACACTTAAATTATTCCCCATAAAACGATTTTGTTTGTTACAATTACACGAATGTAACGTCAAATCCAGAGAGAGCCGTTTAAATGTAACACTCCACTTGGTGCATTGCAGCCACATGTTGCAATAACATACGGCATAAAGCTTATAACGTTCCATTAATAAAATATAGAGTATATATATATATAAATTGAAAATCATAGTTTTACGTCAATGTCATATTTACTAACTTACAAACGATTTAAAATTTATCAAAGTGAATAAACTTGGTACTGTATGCCTATAGAAAGAGCATAAACCATTTATATAATTATTATTGACGTCAACAGGCAGCGTAACTTTGTTTTTCATATTTTCTGGTGTAATTAAGTAAAATACCCTGTTGATGTAAACAAATCCGTCTGCACTGCAATAATCTGAAATGAAGCAACATTTGGAGCTTAAAACCACCTAAGCTGGGGATTTGTACAGCCATAATTCCAGGGCTTTCAAAGTGGTTCACCTTCAGCCTTAGCACATGAAAGTTCTGTGCGTGCTTTCTCTTTTAAGAAAATTACTCTTTTTTATATGGACTTATATTGAATGTTAACATTTTTTTTGTCAAATTTGGTAAAATAGGGACCGACTATATCTGCTGGTTCTTTAGCAGTTAACTGATTTATTGGTTAAGTAATAGAACAGCATAGTTAAATCAAAAACCATAAAATAGCTACTGACTATTTTAATTACTAATCAACTGACTATTAACCTGTTGTTTATAAAGGAAGCACAATAAATGTAATCCATCCTATTAACCAATTATATAGCTAATCCTACCCTAGCGAATTTGTTACAAGATTCAAAAGTATTTTCTCTCTATGGTAAACTACCTATTACATAGAACAGCACTAACTGGAGAGGTTATGATTACTTCACTAAGACACGATTGTTGAAACTGCAAAGGGTTAATTTATTAAGACTTGAATCGACAAATATATAGCTTGTTTTGTTATTAGAATCAAAGTTAACATAACTCTAAAAAGTAACCTAAAGTTTTATTTTAGTAAAATATCTTTGACTTATAAAATACAGCGTATTACAATTGTTATTTGTGTATTTAAGAGCGCAAAGTACATGATTCCCGCTCAAAAACTGTAGATGAGCTGAGTGTGGCCATACATTTCGAGGGCGGCAATGACTCTTTGTGCTCGTAATACACACAAGACCTTTCCTACCACCATACTAACCTGTATTAACAGATAAACTTTTTTGATGTATATAAAATGTTTTAGGTTATGTTTACTCTATTTAGGTATTGCCTTTTGCCTACCGGTTGTTAAAGAACGTACTGGATCTGTGGCTGTGGTTGGTCTAGAAACGACAACTAACTGTGCAATCAGTTGATCAGCGGGAATCATCCATTCCTGATCTAGATCGGCAATGAGATATTTTGCGTACTGTTTACAGGTATGCCAATGTGATTATGTCCATGCAGTCATAGAAAAAAAGTTGTTTGGTTCTAAAACTAAATGTATATATTTAACACTTTATCTACGTAATAACAATCTGTACAATCATAAAACAAATTGTTACTTAGTTTTATTTTATTAATTTTTAATTACAATGATTCAAATCTCAAACATGAATACGTAAGGCCAAAGTTTATAAGTATATTTACAAAACGTAAAGATATAAAATTTTACCATACTCAAGCAAACTCTTCTTAGGAATCGGGTTGACTTTTAAAATAAACAAATAGTCTTAGACAATGAAAGAGAAAATACCTTGTCTAAATGAAGACGCAGGGTAATCTTATTTAAAGCTAGCTATGAATTAAACATGAGTGAACATGGATAAGATCTGTATAGCTTCAATGCTGATTCCTTTATCGGAAATTAATTTACACGTCCTATTCACTCATTTAAAACAGCCAAATAATTTGGTTGATATTTATAGCTTCATAATATAACAGCTAAAACTACTTACTAGTTGTTTGAAAAAACTATAACTTATAGATAAATTCTATGTTAACAAGCAAAATTGCCAACAAGGTAATATATAAAATACTACATGTTATGTATATTTGTAATGAGACAGATGGCCAAAATTTAGTCTATTCACAAAAGTAAAAGTGTGTTTGTATGTCCGTAGGAATTGGTAATGATAATGGTAGTACAATTTGCCATTGTATTCAAATGCACCTAGACCTCTTTTGGGAAATATTTTAAATTAATTTTTTTTTTATATTTTCCGTCCCTTCGGTATTTTGCAATGCAAACAGGATGTTTTAGCTTGCCAGTATTAGTTCGTTGCCGCCAATTCCGTGGGGAAACGCAAATGTAACAGCATTGCAGCCACCAGTTGGTACCGATCGTTACAGCATAAAGTTTAGTATTTGAACGTATCCTAGAGCTAAATGTTATGTAATTTTGCATGTTTATTTTTCTATAAGAAACATAAGGAGCAACAAACATAAGGAAGCGAAAAAAGTTATTTAGTTCTTAGAGAAGATACAAAATTAATCTAGGGAACTAAATAACCTGTTGGCATATGCAACTTTTATTGTTAATGACGCTTCCTTTTAACAAACTCTTCAGCATTTCAAATAAATATGCCTAACACACTTTAGTTGGAATTAATTTAAATGAGTTATAATAAGGACTTAATCTTTTGTCTAAGATGGACCCATTCTACTTTAAATCCATTATTAATAATATGCAATATCATTCAATTCTGCTGAAGATAAGATAGAAGAATTAATAAAAGAATGAATAATAATAATTAATAATACATTATTTAATACAAGAATTAAGATAAATAATAAAAGTAGAGATAAGTCATGTTTTCTAATTCCTTTTTAGTTCTTATAATAAAAAGACAAACTTTAAATCTTCATGAAAAACATTAACTATATAAACAAATTTTAGTTGTAGTTATCATTATCGTGTACGTATCTTCATCTTTGATTGCATATTCACTATACCCAATGTTCACCACCACAATATAAATATATTGTTGAATAGTCATTGCCATTCATGAATAATTATATTGAGTCCTTTAATTATTGTTTTAAACAGACCATTAAATCGATAATACTGTCAAAGCATTTCCGTTTGTTGAGCTGGACTTTCCAGGTTACGTTTATTTATCATCTAAGATTTGGAGTTCAAAATAAAAACGTTAACACTGATCCATGATGAAATAAACAATTCAAA